GTCCACGTGAGATTCTGTTCTGGAAAGAATGAGCCATCTTCCTGAAAAATCTCAGAATTAACCAAACTGCATATCTGTTAGATCAGTACAGGATGTCTTAACATTTGTTATGACATTAGAATTCCTGTTTACTGATTTTGGTAGAAGGCAATAAATGTGATCTTTTGCAAAATGCTCAGATACACACTCATACACAGTAGCTACTGTATGCCATACTTTTTCTGCATAAAGAACCTAATAATCCAGAATGTTATGACATCAGTCATGACATTTACACACCTGGTTTTACCAAAAATACATGCCAATAACTAAACACTTACAGTTTGCTTTTTGTCAATAAACCTCAACTTTAGTGTATATTTGGTATAGTTTATGTTATAGTGTATTTATTACGTTATTATGTAAATATCATTGATTTTAATTGATTTTATCTCATTTTTGTAGGTATTCAAGCTTTTATATTTATGCATTGTTAGAAAGATCATTAAATAAGCTTTCTAACGCTTCGAACTGGGCGCGAATTGAAGTTACGGTTCAAAAGTTATGGCCGAAATAGTGCAGAATGTTGTGTTGGTTTTTTCAACTTTCTGTCATCCATCGTCGGGCGACGCTTTTTAGTCTCCGGTGATGCTAGGCGAGCTGTAGTGTGGGAAAAACACTTTTGGTTGCCGGGCGACGCTTTTTTTGTCGTCGGGCGATGCTGGACAGTCAGAAATGCGTATTTAGGTGTAAAAACACATTTTTTGGGTATGGTTTTGGATATTTTTGATCCCAACTCCATCACCCTTCATTTTTGGATAGGATTAGCTTAGAAAACAACATTGAAGCTTGCATACGGATGATCCGGGGTGGATTGCTCATTAATCGGCACTGATAAACTGGTAGATTTGTGGTTCACTTCTCTTCCTCTTTGTCTATTCTTTATGTGTTGAGTTTGTACATGTATTTACTCTAAACTCATGTATATTTATCGTCCATGGCGTTATATTAAACTTATTTTACAAATCTTTGTCGATTATTATCTTAGATTTTTGCTCTGTGCTAGAGATTTGAATTGTTATAGACATATACTGCTTAGATTCTTATCTAGGATGATTATCTATTAGTTTCTGAACTCTAGAGATTGATTTAAGCTGATATTTACTTGGGTATCAGAGCTTAATGCCTCTGTGTGGTTGTGATGTGCTGAGAGATCGTCAGTGTGATTACATAGTTGTCTTTTGTGTTGTTGAGGAGGTAGAGAGAACATTTCCTTGGTGATAAGTCGGTCTCTCGATTTATGTTAGAAATGACTTAGGTTATGAGTGATACGTAGTGACATTGATGAGTATTGTTAGGTTGAATGTAACTGGTCGATATATTTAAGTCTGTGATGATTAGATTATATGCAGGCTTGATAAGTTCTTCCTTAGTTTTTACTTTTGTTTACATCTATTTTTTGTTGATAACATTTTCTTTACAAACCCATTTATTCCTAAACTTATTAACGAGAGATTTGTCGAACGGAAATTCAATAACCAATCTCTGTGGACACGATAAATTCCCGGATAAATATTTCCAAAAGTTTTGTTGCTTGCCGCTTCACCACTTCAACATCGTCCCAAGAAGTGCATACCAGATAAAATATATTGAAAAATAACTTGAGTGAGGGCTTCCAAGAATTATTCTCAACATAGTTGGAATACCCTCATGTAGGCCCAGGACCTCGGGTGAAGGTGAAAAGAAGCAACTTTCAAGTATTTTTGGATGACCACCTTAAAGTCGGAGAATGATAGGCACAATCCTATCCTTGTGAATATGCACTCATAGATAGGGACCACATAGTCGTCAAAGGAACTACATATCAACTTCTCTGGGCTCACTTGAAGATTCGACCATTCTAGAGGATCATCGACCATGATGCCAATAGTCTGTATTATTGGCTCGATGTTTGGGATAGACGAGCTGGCCACCACCTCCGTATCCACCCAATCATATTTCACTGCATCGTCCGTTTCCACCAGCTTCACACCTCTCTGAGCTATATGTCCGACTTTAGAATGTTCATCGACCGTGATCCAAGACACTATGTCTGATCTTCTTGGGAAATATAAGTGGGCCTTCACCTCAACATTATTAGGTTCAAGGCCGATGGTTCTCAGGGAAAGTTAAATGAAGTCATCACGCGCTCCCTCATCTACTGAATAACCTATATTTCCTCCTCAATCAAGACGGGGGGATCTTAACACGATTCATATCTCCACCAACATTTGATAAACGAGCTTTAAACGAGTCGGATGACGAAGCTCCTTCCTCCATGAAATCCTTATATACCATTTCCGAGTTAGAATCATCAGATAAGGATATCACTTATGGGCCCATGTAATCGTGAACGAGCAGAGAAAGATGAGAATTAGGGGATTCCCCAATTCCCGCAATAAAAAAAGTATCCATTCCTGGGTCACTCACTAAATTAACGGTGTTATCACTCATCTTGACTAAAGAACTAGAAATGGTGGAAGATAAAAGCTAAGTTGAGAAGGGTACCTGGTTCTGTAAGATCGATGAAGTGAAGTAGGTGAAGAATGAACAAAATATATGATCAAGGCACTACAATTGCTTTGATTTATACTCTCAAGAAAGAAGAGGCAAAAACGTTTCTCAATGAAGTGACTATGAATAAACTTAAATGTCAAGGATCACATAAAGTTTTCCAAAATATTTAGATAGAATATATATATATATATATATATATATATATATATATATATATATATATATATATATATATATATATATATATATATATATATATATATATATATATATATATATATATATATATATATATATATATATATATATATATATATATATATATTCAATTTTATTTTATATTTTTTAATCTATATGTAAAAATCTTATAGATTTCAATTTAAAATAAAGGGAGTATGATATTTAGTCTTTGAATCTTATTATTACAAGTGTGAGTGAGTTTCAGTTTCAACTGTAACAAGCTCCATAATAATAAAATAAAATAAAACATTTAGTATAATTCGTTAGATTTCAATCAAACTATCATTTAATTAATTATTGTATGAATACATTTTCCCTTGACTATTTTATTCTCCCTCCGTTTTAAAATGACATTTTAACACATAAATTTTGTTTAAAAATAATTGTTATTTTAACTTTTTAATATATTAATGATTTATATATTTTTCAATTGTGTCATTTATTTTTTATTCTCTATACTACTAATATATTAATAAGATTAATTTTGTAAAAGTGTAATGTTTTATGACATTTGTATTTTTTAATTTGTGTAAAAAACTTAAACGAAAATCATTTTAAAACAGAGAGAATAGTATTGTACAATGACGTTGATAGGTGCATAATAGATTGGTGTAAAAGATGGATGACACAACAATCTTCTCAAACTTTTGTATTTGGAAAGATAGATGTAAAACTAAGGGTGACAATTGAATCCATTAAGATAAAATTCATCTAATCTATCTACTAAAAAATCTATCTAATCTATTCACTAAATAAAAAGTAAGTTAATTGATTGAATTAAATCAATCCATTTATATACATAGATTGATCTAATTCATCCACTACATTTTGATGATATAATGGATTATATTTATATTACTCTTTAAATTCAATAAATCTATTTTTTTAAATTAATAAAAAAATTAATTTTGTTTTCGAAAAATCGAGTTTTTCTGGAAAATAAAAAAAATTGAGTTTTTTCGCAAAATTGAAAATTCGAGTTTTTTTTTTTAAAAGTAAAGTTTTTTTTGGAAAATCGGGTATATTCGGAAAATCGAAAAAATCTAGTTATTTTTTTTCGGAAAATCGATTTTTTTCGAAAATTGAGTTTTTACCGGAAAATTGAAAAATCGAGGTTGTTTGAAAAATTGATCCATTTATATACATAAGTATTTTTTTTTTTAAAATTAATAAATTATTTTAATTAATCCAATAATTATCAAATTCATATTCATTCGATCCATCTATTTTATATCCATGTATAAAACATGAGATGACATAGTTATCTTGGTTGACTATCTTGGTTAGTTGGTTAAAGTATCTTAATTCTTGTTGTAATTTTTTTTTTATAATAACAAACTTAATTCATATTCATTAATCAAATAACGTTTAATATAAAGAGATATTAAAAATATAAAGTAGTACGTTTAGATTAAAAATGGGTTACCTTCGCTAACAAGTGGACCGAATACTTGTTGTAATTTAATTTTAAAAATATATACTAGTAGTAACATATTGCCTCACTACTTATAGTATACGGTATGATTCAGTATTGACTCATGACTTGTTGTATTCTACATAGCAGTCATACAATACGTTAACAGACAGCCGAAATATAAACCAAACCAAATCTCGTGCAGTGAAAAAGTCCAATCCCGACAATTAATACGCTCTTCTGCAGCTCACCTTTTGATGTACACTATACACACGCACTCCTTCTCTTTTAAACTTTCTTTCCAGCATGGGTCCTAAAGCTTCCAACATTTCATTCTTTACTAACCCCGCGTGCACTAACGACGTTTTAAACATCACTAAAACACAATTAAAGTCTTCATTTCACATTCATTAACAAACAAAACAAAACAATCATCTTTAATTTAACCACGCACGACCACCGTCCCTCACCGCCACTCGCTTCTCCAAATCAAAATTAATTAATTTCAAACTAGTAAAAGGACAAGATTATGATACCAAATTGCAAAGAGCATGAACAAAACTTGGTTATACATTAATATTCCTCAACCATCCTAATTATTAGACAAAATTTAAAGTACTTGAATTTAAACAAAACTTCACACAACCATCACTCTTTAGAGTGTATAAAATAAAACAAATCATAAATAAATTAACTAATTTTATTTTATATTTTTTGTTGCTGTTATGTCACCGGAGCAAAATCGCCGTACAACCAACGAAAACCTCAACCTTGAAAAGACGAAACCATGAGTGTGTACTGTGTTCTGTTCTCAAAGGACAACTAGAGGATCTGAGCCTAACAAAATATCTTGGAAGAAATCATCCACTTGGCATAACGATGAAGAAGGAGAAGAGAAACAAGCTTTGTCGAAATTGATGAGGGAGTCAGCAAGAACAATGCTGTCGTTTAATTCTTGGTCACACAAAAACGGCGTCGTACTTTCCCCAAACATTGTGTTTTGTTCTTCTTCAAAAATCATAGGAAACTCTGGCGTTTCGAAGTTGAACACGTCGTCCCAAGAAGGCATAGGAAACTCGTGTTGGAAAAACGACGCCGTATCGTCTAACAAGTTTGTTTCACCTTGACATTCCCTGAAAACTTCACAAGCTTCGTTTTGACCCTCCGACTCGCCGGAGTTACTACGGAAATTTAAAACTGAAGTAGGAGAAGAGAGAGGTACACATCGTTCTTCTCCAGAATCGTAACTAGAATTACCAGACCCAGAAGCTTCTGCATCTCCGTCAGCGTCGGCGTCTACGATTACTTTCATTTCGGTTTTCACGGCGGAGAGTTCTACTTCTACCGGTTGTTCTCTCTGCGGTGGCGTGATAAAGTTTGTTAAAGCATCGGGTCCACGAAGCTTAATGGCGGCATTGTCGTACACCATAGCAGCTTCTTCTGCAGTTTCGAAAGTACCTAACCAAAGCCGTACTCTCCGAGCAGGATCGCGAATCTCAGCAGCCCACTTCCCCCATGGCCTCTGCCGTACACCTCGGAACTTTCTACCACTGATGACAGCAGGAGCTTTCGCTGGCCTTTTAAGGGTGGATGCTTCTCCGGCAGGTCTTTTTCGATTAACGACGGCTTTAGCGGCGGTTTCAATTTCAACACGGTGGATATAACGCTTTGTTCTTTTTCTGGAGAAACTTTCTTCTTCATCGCTGGATGAGTCAGTGGCATCTGGGTCGGTGACAGATATTTGTACGACTCTTGGGTATATAGTTGAGTTTGTTTTGTTGCTGTTAGCGGTTTTCTTGGTTGTGATGACTTTTTTTGTAACAGTGTGATGTTCTGTGTATTTGCATAGGATACTAGATTGTTGTTGTTGTTGTTGATGTTCCATTGTGTCTCTTATGAGAAAGAAATGAATGTGTTTGATTAAGGAACAAATAGGCCCGGTTTTGTAATATAAAGAGAATCGTGAAGAAGAAGAAGAAGAGTAAAGAGCTTTAGGATGGGTATTCCAAAGGCTTTTTATGGGGAAATCTTCCAAAAAGACATGAAAAGTTAAGGACTGAAGGGGAAAAAGAGAAAGTAAAAGAGGATAAATTTTAAAAATGGAAAGAAGTAAACATGGTGGTAGAGAGTGTGAGGAGGAATAAAGAGTAAAGAAAAGCTTTTAACATGATGGTGATTCTTATATCAAAGATTTGTTTCTGGATGAGAGTTTCGTTGAAACTTCTGTTTAGATTCAAAGTGAAGAAGAGAGAAAAATGAAAATGGTATAGATTCTGTTGGGTGAAGAGTGATATGTGTTGTTAATGTCACTGAATGGGTAAAGAGGCAAGTAGTTGAAGAGAACAAGAGTTTCTGAGAGGACCAAAACACTTAAAACCCGTTTTATAGGATTCAACAGCCGAAATTAAAACATTGAAAAATAAATATCATTACTGTATTAAATTATATAAACATTTTCATTAATTCAAATTTTTTGAAAAAAGGAGAAACGAAAAAAGGTGGAGTTGATAGTGAGAAGACAGCATTCTACGACTCGCCGCATTTAATACGAGATTTTAATTTTTAACACGTTGCTGAGAATGCTGAGATGGTTTCACATAAAAGAGATCTGAACCAATCAGACAACATCTAACGGTCCCTATTGGAGTAATCACATGTTACTACAATCTTGTTCGTTTTTGTAATGTGTGTCACGTGAGACCCAAGATACACGGTCAAATTGGTTTGACTAATAAATAAATTATAAAACCCGAAATTCGTAGATTTTAACGAAGAAAATAAAATTGAAAAATAAAAAAAAAAAAGGAGAAAAAGAAGAGGGTAAAGTGGTAATGTGGTAGTGGTCGTAAAAACACAACATTTTGTGCTGGCGACTGAGCAGGGTGAGGTGGGTGGGTCATGTGTTAATAATAGTAGCAAGTTTATTTTAGCAGTGATAAGGTTTGTGATGTTTGTTGTTTCATTTGTGTGATGTTGTGTTTTTGGTGAAACGGTTTGTATTGTATAATGAAGTTTTTACAGCTAGTGGTAGAATTTAACGTGGCGAGCAACCTAGAATTCGCGGCCATTTACAAATTGTTTCGGTACGTCTCTGGGTTTTTCTGCTCACTGTTATTCACACAGATACGATACAACTCCACGCGCTCTTTTAACTCGTAGAAAACACACTCTCACTAGTATAATTTCATTATGGACAGAATTCTTTCTCTTTTGACTAATACTATTAACTAGTTTTAATTCATTTTTTTAAAAGACAGGATAATTTATTTTGTTGAGAATCCTAACTAATTGCTAATTTAATTCGTCAAAAAAATATCATATTACTAAGAATATACAATACCTGGAGTAGTTTAATGTTTTAAAACTATGGATGTTGTGAAAATTAATACTATTTATTCACCATTTTCTATAACACAATTAATTCATCATAAATAACAAGGGTTTATATACTTGTTTTAAACAAACAGCACTAAAATAAGAATAGTATATATCCAGTAAATTAATTTAGAACTCTAAAAAAAATATAATTTAGATGATGTCTCGTAAAATCAACTTAATTTATAACTACACATAGATATTTAATTGGAGTATTTGCATGTTTGAACTTACGACATGTTTTATATTTTTTCTTTTTAAATCTATGTTTTGCAAATAACATTTTTTAAATGTGAATGTTTGTGTTATATATTTTTAAAAATAATATATATGTATATTTTAAACAGTTTACTCAAGTAATTTTTTTAAAATATTTTTGAAATTAATATTTAATATATATTATATTTATTTGAAAAACAGTATATTTATTGATTTTGAAAATTAATATTTATTTTCTTTCGATTTTTTAAAAAGTAACTAAAAAATAATATATATTTATTGATTTGAAAAACAGTATAGTTATATACTCTAAAATATATATATATTTATTAAAAACCAGTATATTTATTTATTAAAAGAAGTATTTATAAAGAAAAATAGTATATTTAGAAAAAAGAAGTATTTTTTAAAAGAAGTATTTATAAAAAATAATATATTTAGAAAAATAGTATATTTTGAAAAACAATATATTTATTTATTAAAAGAATTATTTATAAAAAAATCAATATATTTTTAAAAATGTATTTTTTAAAGGATATAATATAATAAATATATTTATATACTCTTTTGAAAAAGAAAAACTCTAAAAAATATATTTGCATGGTTAGATATATTTATTTAGAAAGTATGTAGATATAGTGTTTGGTTAAACAGGTAAATATATTGTTTGATGAAATAGAAATATTAGAAAGTATGGTTAAATAATTTTTAAAATAATAAATAAATAAAAAGTGTGATTAAATAAGTTAATATTTATAAGATACATTATTTCTTAAAATAAGATATAGCTCTTTAGGTAGATATATGGTAGATATATTGTTTGGTTAAATATATATTTAGAAAATATGATTAAATAATTTTTAAAATAATAAATAAATATATTTAAAAAGTATGGTTAAATAAGTAAATATTTGTAAGATGTATTATTTCTTAAAATAAGATATAACTTTTTAGAAAAAAATAAGTATTTTTAAAAGGTATAATGGTAAATATATTTATATACTCTTTTAAAAAGAATAACTTTAAAAAGTATATTTACATGGTTAAATATATTTAGAAAGTATGTTTAATTATAATAAATAAATAAATATATTTTTTGGTTAAATATAAATTTAGAAAGTATTATTAAATAATTTTTAAAATAATATGTAAATATATCTAAAAAGTATGGTTAAATAAGTAAATATTTGTAAGATATATTATTTCTCAAAATAAGATATAGTTTTGTAGAAAGAAAAAAAAAAGTATTTGTTAAAAGGTATAATATGGTAAATATATTTATATTCTCTTTTAAAAAAGAATAACTCTAAAAAATATATTTGTATGGTTAAATATATTTAAATAGTATGTTTAATTAGAATAAATAGGTTGATATATTATTTGGTTAAATATATATTTAGAAAGTATGATTAAATAATTTTCAAAAATATTATTAAAATTATATATATATATATATATATATATATATATATATATATATATATATATATATATATATATATATATATATATATATATATATATATATATATATATATATATATATATATATATATATATATATATATATATATATATATATATATATATATATATATATATATATATATATATATATATATATATATATATATATATATATATATATATATATATATATATATATATATATATATATATATATATATATATATATAAAATAAGCTAATAGTATAATATATGTTTTATTTTTAGAAAAAAAATATTAAGTATTGAATATTATCAATTCTATAACTAGTTATATGATGTTATCGATAAAATTTTAAAAATTTGTCAATAGATCACTCTTCCATTTATTTAATAAAATTAAACATGAACAATGTTGTACATGTGCAGTATCGAATATTATTAATTCTATTGTACTTGGATGTATGATAGAATATTTTCTGGAAGACGTGGGCTTAAATCATATTTTATGGAAGGAGTTTCTGGGTTTCTCTCATATGCATTTGTTCAAGAATATTGTCGAAGCGAATGAGAGGTAAGGTGTCCGTGTTTAAAGTGTGGTTGCAGAAATATAATTAGTGACCCTAGTGAAGTGAAACGTCACTTTGAGAGATTGAGTTTTAGACCAAATTATTGGATTTGGACAGTTAATGGAAAAAAATTTCAGAGATGAATAGAGAGGCTTCTTGCAGTCAAATACATATTGGATCAGATATAAATATATATGCTTCAGGGAGTCCATCACAAATGCAATGCCAGTGAATGTGGCTTATGATGAACCTCAAGACTTTGATGCAGAAGAGCTCCCGAATGAGAAAGCCCAAAAGTTTTATCATTTGTTGAAAGAAAGAAATATACCATTATTTGAGGGATCTTCTGACTCTAGGCTATCAATGTGTGTGAGGTTGTTGGCTGCAAAGTCAAATTGGAATGTTCACGATCATGATTTGGAATTCTTTGTGAGAATGATGTTGGATGTGACTCTTGTGAAAGTAAATATGCCTACAAGTTATTATGATGCAAAAAAGATGATGTCAAAGTTGGAACTAGAAGTAAAAAAGATTGATTGTTGCATTAGAGGTTGCATGTTGTTTTATGATAATGAGTTTGGTATAAATGATGGGGAATTGGAGGAATGTAAGTTTTGCAATAGTCAGAGGTATTTAGTTCGCAGTGAAGGAGTTGATCGAAAGCAAAAACGAGTTGTAGTGAAATTCATGTTCTATCTGTCAATAATAACTAGGTTGCAAAGAATGTTTGCATCAATGCACAGTGCAAGCCAAATGACATGGCATCATACAAACATAACTAGTTCAGGCATGATGCGACATCTATCTGATGGCGAGGCATGAAAATACTTTGATAGAGTACATCATAAATTTGTAGCAGAACCCAGGAATGTCAGGCTTGGATTATGTTCTGAAGATTTCACTCCTTATATCCATTCGTCAGTAAATGTATATTCTTGTTGGCCGGTTATTGTTATCCCGTACAAGCCCCCTCCTGAGATGTGCATGACGAAACCTTACATGTTTTTTACATGCATTATTCCAGAACTGTCGAGTCCAAAGGCGGGATAGATGTTTACTTGCAACCTTTAATTGATGATCTCAAGAGGTTGTGGATAGGAGAGTAGACTTATGATGTGTCTCGTAAATAAAACTTTAATATGCGAGCTGCTTTGATGTGGACAATTAATGACTTTCCTGCATATGGCATGTTGTCTGGATGAGGTACGCATGGAAAAATAGGATGTTTGCATTGCATGGGTCATACAAAAGCTTTTACTTTGGAAAAGGGTGGGAA